ATATGTTACATATTTCTTGCACATTTTGTATATTTTCCTTGTTATCAGTTCTCTCTGCAACAATTTATGAATTATGAATTATAATTTATGATACTTTTATAATGAGCCAGTAATTTCAATTCAACGTGAGTCCAAAGAAATGTGAATGGTAACGTTGGTACAAGTACAGAACAAAAATATACTGATACTTGATTTAATGTAATTTAATCATTTTCAGAGTGTTAATTGTTAGAGATGTTTATTAATTTTCGTATAATGCTTAAAGTAAAAAATGCTAAGCAATTTATGTTTAACCAATGGATAAGTGAAATAAGTAATGCAAATTTTATTTTTAAAGAAGATATTGTTCATTGCCATGCTAAAGACTTGTAAAGATTTAAAAATATTCTATTTCAAAATGTTAACATATAACTTGTTTATTGCACGGTATATGACATAGTAGATTATTAGAGAAAGTATGACAACGTATTCTAAAGTATAAATATACTCATATTAAAAGTAAAACAAGTTTTTTTAAAAATTCCTCTTCGTATAGCGGCTTACAAAGAAAAAATTCCAAACGTTTCACTTCCATCAGAGCCAGTCATTCCAAGGTGGAGAACTTGGCTAGAGACTGCATTATTCTGTGTAAAGCATTTAAAAACTATTTAAGGGATAATTTATGATTCTTCTAATCTAATTAAATTTTGATATTTACATTACTAATGACAATTTTATTATTAATATTTCTGAATATTAATAATATATATATAAGCAATTTAACAAATAAAACTGTTTGATGATGAAAACACAGCATCATTAGGATAACAAAAATTCTCGAGGTGTAAAATCTAAAACTTTGACGTATATTGAAGCCCATTTCCTCCTTAAGTGTACAAAAATTAAAAAAGAGAAAGATACTTTTAACTAATCAATGAACATAATTAACGATATTGTAAAAAGTATGGAAAACATACATGAAAAACATATTAAAGAAATTTAATCACATAAAATCCTAACTATTATATAAATTCGGAAAAATTTTAAATGGTACATTTACAGGAGAATATTTTAGCACGATATTTGAGTAAATTTAAATATACAGGGTGAGTCTCGTAACGTGACGACATCAAATGATTCATAAATATTTGTTGTACGAAAAAATGTTCAGATAGAAGTTGCATGGCTTCCAAAGGGAGCTTATTTTGCTTTTTTATCAAGGTATGAAGGTCACCTTCAATTTTTTAAATGAAATAGTTAATATTTCATCCCGAATTCGGATAAAGCGTTAAAGTCTACATAAAAAAGTATTACAACAAATAGGATCTAAAATATATAGTTACTGAGATATTAGCAAAAATATTTTTTTACATTGTATTAGAAAAGGCCCTTAAACTATAGCCGAACTAATTTATAGTAGTCTATTCTAGTCTACTTCTGAAGTAGAAAGAATATCATCTGCTTACAAATTAATTTTCTCAGATAAGCGATATCATTCCACTGTAGAAAGATGGAAAAAATGATTCTTGTATATTGTAATGTAAATTATGAAAAGTAATATGAAGACAATTAATATTGTAATTTATAATATATTGTAATATATATACACATATATTCTGCATAGTGTTAGTATATTGTTTGTATGTTCTTTGCATATTTCTTGTACATTCTTTGCATATTTGTTGCATATGTAGATATATATTAGCTGCATAAAAATTCGTAGTCTAGTAATAGAAGATAATTACCTACATATTCTATCTTTTTGTAATTCATTGTATTTATATATTTAAATTTCTTTGAAATATAGTTTAAATAATACCTAGTAATATTATTAACAAAAAAAAAAAACTGGCAGAAAAATTAGAAAGCATGATAAAAGAATTGCAACTGTCTAAGTCGATGCATCCTAAACCTTTTAGAGAATAGAAATAATGTACAAAATGTTAGTTAAATGACTTCAAACAAAAAAAATAATTATCATTTTGTACATCTGTTGTTTTTAGAATTGTCAGACAAGTTTAAAATTAAGTATTTTTTTCGGATACTATTTTTAATAACTATAATTCATTGCTGCTTATCTGCGACCATCTTTTAATTTATTCCACAAAAAATTACAATGCAATAAGATTCGAAGATCGAATAAGCCAATCGGATACATGTCCAGTGTTAAATCGAGATAATAACGTGATTGAAAAATGTATGTAACAAAAGTACATAAAAATCAACAAAAGTACATGAAAATCAACGTCTTGAACATCTATTGTATCTAAAGCCAGAAATTTAAGATTGTGAAGTTGTCTAGTCTGTAGTACAAAGTTACTTTTCAATTATTTCCATCTATCAACAAAATGTTTGTTTTTGAACTAGCTGAATTTTTTTGCAATGTCTATTAGCTGATAGATTAAAAAAAAAAAGTTATAGCGTTACACATAAAAAAGTTGATGACCTTAAGAACATATTTTAAAAAAAGATATGGAAAAAAATAAATATCATTATTTTAAAGAGATATTCTTCCAAAAAATATTATTTTCTGATCGACATGAAATTTTATGAAATTTCAGGAAAAGGAGGGAAACGAGAGAGAACTTCAAATTTTAGTTTCGGATTTTTATTGGTTTTCGAAATATTAATAAAAAACTTTCAGTAGATTACACTGAATTATTCTACCTACAACGTTGAAATAGTCATCGTCGGTGAACATTGGGAAATTGTTTCGAGTAATAGTAATAGAATATCAGCTTCGATATCTATACGTGTGTTGCATAAAATTCACGTAGTGCGCTATTTCTAGCAGACAAGAAATATATATAACACAAATTCAACTTCAACTCCTATCTTTCCGGCAAGTAATGCGAAAAAATTAATGTTATTTGGAAATGACGTTTAATTATATTAATTGTAAATAGGACATTCTATAGATACTGATATCGCTAATACGTCATCAATTACTTAATATCCAATGACGATGCCATCACTGCTAGTTGATGTAATGTCTATATAGACAGAATTTAATGTATTGTACTGACAATTTTTTATTAATTTCTTGGAAAGTAACAAAAACCTGAAACTAAAATTTTACATTTAGAGTCCACCCTTTCTTTTTCTCCAACCCCTCAAAATTTCATGTCTATCGGGAACTGGCACTTTTTGGAACTACAGTTTTTTAAATTAAAAATCCTTTAGTCATATCATCTGTGACAAAAAAAAAGAAGAAAAGAAAAAATATTAATCAGTTTAATAATAACGAAAATAATTCAAGTAGTCACGTTAGATAATCGCGTTAGGCAATTCATCCTTTCTTTTTATATCGTGTTTTTTATATTAAAATAAAAATAGGATCTTTTTAAAACAAATTTTGCTAACTTATAAATTTTCTTAAAAACAGATTTTTCTACATTACATCTGGTGTTTCATATAATGCAACCTTAAGCTGATATGTTTTTTCACGTGACCATAAATAAAGCGAATACTTAAACATTCTCATTAAAATGAGATAATCTGCATGTGTATTATATATTACTAATGCATACATTAGAAATTGTTATAGACAGGTATATATTTTTCGGCTGAACTATTTATATCATACTGAATAGAATTGTTCACGAACTGCTCGGAAGAAAACAATATTGTATTTATATTGAAGCTCGCGAACAGTTTGCTAGTCAATCATAAAAAAATTTCAGATAAAATTCTGAATCAGTTCCGTCTCCTAAGCGAACATTGTTTGACGTTCGCTAATCAGTTCGCGAATAGTTTTTTTTTTTTTACCAAAAAACGCCTTTGTTTCCTATATTTTATAGCTTTTCTGGGAACAGTGTTCCTACTTTTCAAGACAGCGTGACTATGTGTGTCACTAATTATTCTTAAATTTTCTTATTTTATAATTATATGTGTATATATATATATATATATATATATATACATGTATGTATATCATGAACTTTTTTAAAACTAATTAGTTTTCGGACCAGGATCAGGATCAGTATGGATAAAATAAAGATTAAGCCTAAACAAAGTAATTTGGCTGGAAGCGAGTATCTAGAGTAGATAGTCACTTTTGTACAAGCAGGCCTATAAAAATCATCTCCAAGGTTTAGTATTACACACGCATACTACATACCAACAACTGATTATGCACGTTTAAATATAGGATTGAAGAACTTCAATCATCTTTGAATTATTATCCCTCCGACGGAAGTAAAACCGAATATATCAAAATCGGCTTGCGGACATTAAAACAGACGCTGCCGTGCTGATATATACACTCATTAAATGAAAATTATTTCAGGAACAATATTTTATACAATAAAATGAATGTAGAAAAATTTAAATATTATATATGTAAATTGTATATGAAACATGATAATAGGTAAATAATAGTACAACCACATTGGAGACAATTATACATAAAAGAGAGAATCAGAAATTTGCTATAAAATTCTTTCCCTTAGAATCTTATTTTCGAGAAAATCGAGTTTGAAAATTCATAAGATATTATAAGAACATATCAAGAAAGAGTTATTCAATTGAAATAAGTATTAAAATTAAAACAAAAGATTGTATGTAATTTGATAAATTAAAAAGCGAAAATACATTAATTTATCCTTAATTTATTAAACCGAATTATATATGCAGCAATGAGGATGACAACAATATATGTGCAATAAAAAATGAATATTTTGCAAAATTCTGTTACATTATTTTAATTTCATTTCTATCTAATTACTTTATAATTATTTTATAATAGTTATTTTAACTATAACTTTCAACGAATAGAAAAAACCAAAAATAGAGTGACACAATAACTAAGTACTTATTCATGGGCGTATCTCATGAATTTTCAAACTCGATTTTTTTAAAAATAAAGCTCGGACGAAGAACTGTATATCAAATTTTTTACATAAGATCACTTTCGTTCTAATTATTTTTTAACCTTCGACTTATCTTGTACAACACATGAAAATAGTAATTACAAAATATATTTATATAAATTTATATAATAATTGATTAATAATACGTACAGTGAACTTGTACGGAATAACGTTTGCTGACTGTTGGAGGCACATTGTTGCTGGCTATGCAAAGATACGTGCCCATTTCTTGTCGAAGAACTCCAGTCAACTCTAGCGTTTCACCCACGTAAGTTTTCAATGCTGAAAGATGAAATTTTTATCTTATTTTCTTATATTTGGTATATACATACATATATAAAGTAAATTATTGTAACGTATATAATAAAAAGAGAAGAAATCATAACATTTTGAACGAATTCATGTTGATTTATCTATTAATAAGATAATATTAATCTACTGTTTGTTACATGAAAATAAACGAAACTTATTTTTAAGTTCAAAAGTCTTTGAGTTAAAGTCTTAAGTTAATTATTAACATCATCGATTTTGATATGCAGATATGTACATTTTCTTGTTGTAAAAATGTACTTTTCTAACGAATTTTTAAAGCTAACTTCTTTTACTTCTCATAAATTTTTTCTTTTAAAACTAAAATTTAAAACATATTTATCCTTAAATCGTAATTTCTGTTTATTCGTTTAATTATAATTTTCATTGTTGAAAAATATTACTTACTTGAATTACTAACAGTAATAAATCAACTTCATTTTTAACATTGCTATATAATGAATATTCAGAAATTTTAATGAAAATTTTTATTAAGAAAGCAATTTTTATTTTTCAAATATAATTCCTTTTTCTAACTGATATCATTCAGTCCATAATGATATTAAATAGTTTTTGGCTTAAAACAAAAGAATATAATTTAAATGTCAACATTTATATATCAAAATATATAATATGTTTCCAGCTACTTTATATAATGTAAAAAATTATTTTTTAAATTAAAAAAAAAATTTTTTAAAGCATTTAAAAAATTCCATTAAAAGCATTATTTTTAAACGTCTTAATATTCGTACTTAAATATTCGTATTGAATATATAATTGTAAATGATTGATATCTTACATTGTTTTTGTCCATCTACACGAAGAATAATGTTCCGGCCATCTTCTCGTTTCCACGTGACAGTGGGCTTTGGTGAACCAGTCGCATTACATTTCAACTTTACTTCACCACCTTCATGAGTTACCATACCATTGGCAGATTCATCATCCACTATATCTGGTGGTATTAATACTTCCATGTAACCATTCTATATAGAACAATTAAGTTTGCATTAAAATTATTGTTACAATAGATTAAATTTATCAACCAAATTTTTAATAACATTGACAAATATTACTATCGAGGAATATAATTAAATTTATAATAAATGAAGCTAATAATATCATGATTGTTACAATAAAAATTTATTTATTCTATTTTTAAAGAATAAAAGGCTTTTAAACTTTATTTATTTGTCCCAAATCGTTAACTTATTTTGAATATAAAATGAGGTTACGTAATGATTTCATATAATGATAAGAGTATAAATATATGTATTTATGTATCTGGTATTATTTTGTTAAGACTTTAAGAATAACATTTATAATTGTATAATATGTTTATTAGTATTATGAAAAATGCATATGTGAAGGACATAAATAAATTAAGTTTTAATAGCGTTTTACTGAAACGTACAGAATATCAAAAAATTAGTTGCTAGGAATGACTTTAGGAATCAATTCTACAATTCTACAATGGAGATTTATTTAAAATATTGATTGCAAAATTGATCTTGAGTATGATTTTCAGTGTCAAATTGTTTTTTCTTTATCATATTTTACTAAGGAAAAGAAAAAGTCTCAGAAGAATCATCGTAACTCAATCGTCCTGTTAGAAAAAAATATTGAAGTTTTATTAGTTATAAATTGATATTTGTAATGTGCTTACATTCTATGGACAGATGCAGGGATAACAACATTCATCATTGCACTCCACCATTGTATATCCTGTATTTTCTTTTTTCTTTTTTCATTATTTAAATAACCCCGAACTCATATTTCTATATTTCGCCCAATATTGCGTATTGATTTTATATAATAAAAGACATATTTACTTTTAATTGTTCAACGGATGTAATATGTATACATATACTTCTTACAAGGAAAAAATCCTATACTGAAAATGAGGAGCTTGTGACGAGTAGGTTTGCATCTTATTCACAGCAATTCAAAAATTAACCGGTGATGGACTAGTATGGTAATTTGATGATATGTAAACTTTAATAATTTTTAAATTGCCTTTGTATTTATACACAATTCACAACCATATTTCACCATATTCAATCAAATACGCTACCTCACATGTTGTCTACTGATCACTATGGTATGTACTTCTAGATTGGGAAGAGAAATTGTTTATAATTCGAACAAATGGATTATATCCTTAAACAATTAAAATTTCCGATTGAATGTAATTTTTATTATGTAAATCAATGTATAGTCTTGAGGAGAAACTTAGCGGAGAAATAAAAAAAATATAGAATATGTAATATTGAATCTAAAATATCTATGTACGTGCGATTACTAGATGTCATTTGATGACATAATATAAACATATTATAAATAATATGAGTTGAACAACCAATAAAATGTTTAATACGTTTTTCCAAGGGTAGATTTGCAGTCTATAATTCTTTTGAAACTTTTTTCTTATAAGTAGAACACAATAAAAAAATTTGGCCTTGAAAATCAAAATTAATTTTAATCCACTCGATAAATAAATCTTTATCGATTTGAAGGTGTAGAATCATCTCCCAAAATCATGATAAATAATTTTTTAGCACTATGCAAGAATATTTAATGAAAAATATTTATTTAATAGAAAATTTAATATTTATTAATATCATATAATAATATTTATAATAATTTTATGAATATTTATTTCAATTGTTAAAAATATTATTTTATAATACTTAATAGAAAATGTTAAACTAATTTTCACACTTAAACCATTGCTATCTTAACCAATTAAATCTAACATTTTTTTGGACACTTTCCGAAGTATTTATAACTGTATAATGGATTTATATCTCTTATATCTCTATTCTGCACGATGACGATCGTGATAAAGACAATCGAAAAGAGAATGAGAATGAGCAGTCCTCAATGAAAATATATCATTTTGAATTCGTATAAAACTTAAATAAAGTATGTTAAAATGACATTAAATTTTTGACAAAATTGTAAAGAAATTCCGTAGTATTCACGTGGTAGGAGAGTTAAGAATCGTAATCCTCGACAAATGACGAGGATTACGATTCTTAAAAGAAATAGGCCACTGCCTTCTATCAAAACGATGATCAGCAGGAGGGATTGAATGGGGCATTCGATGCGAGTTCTTGATTGATTTGGATGAACTCTTTTGCATAATATGTCAATTATATAATTTATTGTACAAAATCATTTTACAAATTTATTTTATATTTTATATTAATTTTTGCATAATGAATGCCAGATCATTGTGCTGTAATAAATATCCGTACTGCTTTAACATGAAATTTAACCTTATTAATAAAGGTTTTGTTCCGACAAAAACTTTTCAAAATCAAATGATTGGAACGAAATAGTTATTCAGATGATTAAATTTTAAATTTGATGCCTCACAAAATTATTGAGAAATATATGAGTTTCATTACTTCCACTTTAAAATAATCTTAAAAATAATTCTTTCCACTTCCAACAAGTCTGCGCCTTAAAATAGTGCAACTGTATTTCTAACATTTTCTTCATAAAAATAAAAATACAATAGATATGTTTTCATTTAAAAACCGCATCCTGTATAAAATTTGAAGTATTTTAGAAAATATTAATTTCTTTTCGATATTAAGCTCTATTTTTTTTTATTCATAATAGCACGTAGAAAAAATTCAACAGTAGAAAAAAATTTGTTAAAAAAATTAAAAAATAATACACTTTTGTGAAAAATCATACTACATGATGGTAGGCTTTTTGAATAATGTCTTGTTACTAAATTCGCATTTATTACGATTATTATATGTACATACATATGTATATTTGTTCGGAATAGTGTCACTAGATTCAATTCATGAAATAATTTTCGATGAAGAAACGACATTGTCCATATTTTTTGATTTTAATTTCTATCGCCAATAGCGCTGTAGTGCAATACTTGCTTAAGATACAATAGGATGTGACACGAAAATAGTAAGAGATCAGATGACCTTCGAAACTTGGGACACGAAAAAGCATAGATGTTCAGTCTATCTTCTTAATCAATGATTATATGTATCTCGTTTATGATTATATTTTAATTTTTGGTAATTATTCAGAACAGGGACGATCTTATCGATTTTAATAGTCTTGAAATATGTTATTAACGACATGATTTTAAGATATACATATGTTACCGCCGCTTAATTTTCGAGATACTTATAAAAATATATTTCATACTTCTTAAAGAGTAAACTTCATTGATTTCAATGATTTTTGAATTTGTATATTTGAGAGAATTTTGTATTTAAGATTTTTACTTTAGTAAGAAGTGTATACTCTCAAATATAACATTACAAATTCAAGATATTTCAGTCTCTCTGATACTTTGTTTTTCATAAAGAATTATTTATTTTTATGGATTATTTTAATAAGGTCGAAGTTTTGCCGGACGGTTAGGTTTGGGTTGGACAAATCTATTTCCAATTATGTAGCATTAATAATATAATATATGACTAAATTTAAATAAATATAAATCAAAATTACTTTTAATTTAATTTAAATTTAACCTAAATTCTAAAAAGCGGTATATCATTGAATATATAGAATTAAAAATATTTTTGTGTATATCTTGGAAACTAAAGCTGCGGAAAAAGTTGATAGAGAAAGTTGTTTATTGTTAGACTCATACTTCTGACATATTTCAATTTGTTTAAACACACTTTAATAATTATTTATAATAGAACATAATGTATAATATTTATACTTGGTTAATAGAACATTATTTTTTAAAACTAATTGAGAAAAATAAACAATGAAAGACAATGTATTTTACATTATCCATAATATTTTGTTTCCAAAACTTATAATTTCAAAGAAAAATTTGAGATCACAATTTTTGAAACATACACACATATTGTATAATATTACTATATAAGAAAGAAGGAAAATATAAAATATGACAAAATTAAAAAATTCTGAAACAAAATACAATAGAAAATTAATAAGAAATAATAAGAATTTTGTGTGTGTGTGTGTGTATGTGTGTGTGTTCGACCTTGCCGAACACAAAGAAGGTGGGGTTCGCACCGCGAAGGACAAACTCATCGAGCCAGGGAAAGCAATTTTACAATTTCTAACTTCTCGACAGCAGGGATCTCTCGTGACCATATTTTATGTCCTTCGTTACCTTGCATCTTCTATTGTAGTCACACCGGACTACCAATTCCAAGGTTCGTCATGCTCGACACTCAATTTTAAAGCTCGATGAAGGACTTCATCGCAACTTTTTTACAACACTCATAAATCGAAACTCATAAATCCATATTGCGAGGGACACATCCTGGGACTGTTAGGAAGTGCAGATACTACGTTCTGGGACTGACCTCACTCACATCTGGAAGCAACTAACATACCTCCCTAAGCCATAGAATCCAGCTATATAAGACCAACGTACACGAAAAAAAGTCAGTCAAGTTTTGACAATCGCGCAACACACAAGTTTCGGAGCAATCCATCGACGTACGACAGGTCAAGGTTCGACTATCAAACACACTCAAATTTTATCAATCTTCCTCTTACAACTTACATTTCTCAATCCTACCAATCTAACTGTGAAACAACTCTATCTTGTGAATCAGCTGACTTTCATTAACGTTGAAAGACAGCAAGCCACCGATCTGCTCCACGCTATTTATAGGTCGAAGTTAGATCGGCACGCTACAATATATGTATATATAATTATACATATATATATATATATATATATATATATTGAATACGGGGTGTACGCGTTAAGTTTTGTGCAGTTAAGGGAAATTAAAAAATGTTTCTGACAAAATTTAGTACTTGATGGGCTACATGTTTCCATATTCTTAAATCTCAAAAAATGTTTTTTACGTAAAAAAATCAAGGTCACCTTCACTTTTTTAAATAGCACTATATATTTTTGATATCATAGAATTATTGTTGATGTCGAGATGAATTCAACAGTGTATTATACTATGACTTTGAAATGACCTTAAAGTAGAATAC